GCTATTAAAGAATCATACTGTTTGGTTGGTAGAACCACGATAGTTTCCTTTATCTCTTTTCCTATAAAAAATGTCCTTCTTTACTGTTAAGCTGTAACTTGTAATAAAAATACTTATAATCAGTAAATAAAGTCGAAATGAAAGTTTGATAATGTGTGTTCACATGTTACCATGACAGTGAGTATTCAATGAATTGACAATCAAAAGTAAATAACTCCAAGTTTCTATGATAACGGGTGTTTAATAAAGTGACAATCAAATGTAAATAACTCCAAGTTGCTATGATAATGGGTGTTTAATAAAGTGACAATCAAATGTAAATAACTCCAAGTTTCTATGATAACGGGTGTTTAATAAAGTGACAATCAAACGTAAATAGCTCCAAGTTGCTATGATAATGGGTGTTTAATAAAGTGACAATCAAATGTAAATAACTCCATGTTACTATAATAATGGGTGCTCAATAAAGTTACAATCAAATGTAAACAACTCCATGTTACTATGATAATGGATGTTCAATGAAATGGGAGTCAAATAAAGGTAAATATTTCATGTTAATATTATAACGTGTGTTTATGTTACTCTGAGAGAAACATCTAAGGGTATTAAACGTGCGCATGCTTGTAAGAGAAAGGAAATCCAGGAAATGAGTACGAATCATATGGGTAAAATGCAGTCGATGTATATGTTTTGTTCAGAGAAAGATGTCCACAAATACAATTGATTTATGTGCCTGGCTCATAGAAATACATCCACAAATACAGTTGATGCACATGCTTGGTCTAGAGAGAAATGCCCACAAATATAGTTAATGTACATGCCTGACTCAGAGTTAAACGCCTATTAAAACAGTTGATGCACTTGTTGGTCTTTCGAGAAACGTCCACAAATACAGTTGATGCACATGCTTGGTCTAGAGAGAAATGCCCACAAATAAAGTTAATGTACATGCCTGACTCAGAGTTAAACGCTTATTAAAACAGTTGATGCACTTGTTGGTCTTTCGAGAAACGTCCACAAATACAGTTGATGCACATGCTTGGTCTAGAGAGAAATGCTCACAAATAAAGTTAATGTACATGCCTGACTCAGAGTGAAACGTCTACAAAAACAGTTGATGCACATGTTGGTCTTTCGAGAAACGTCCACAAATACAGTTGATGCACATGCTTGGTCTAGAGGGCAAGTCCACATATACAGTTGATTCATGATCCGCAATTCAGATATAAGAAATATGTGGTGTGGATTTGGGTGAAATGCGTGCTGATACTGATTGTTCAATGAGTCTTTAGGCTTAGCGACACGAAGAAGGATTATTTATACAAGTAAACTCATGTACAAATCACAAGAAACTCTTTAACAAGCCTATATCACATATGTGTCAGTTTACAGGTATCCTAGATAGGTTTTGTGTCTAAATTAACGAGTGCAATTTGATGATCCACTTTCGATGTCTTAAACACAATGATGTTTATTGAAGGCTGTGGATGTATTTGATATATATTTTTGTTTCATGTGACCCTATACAGGTTTTCCTGCATGCTTATAGATACGAACTGTAGTCGTTTTTTTACCTGTTTCATTGTCCCAAATCACGCATTTTTTTTTCAGACTTTGTTTTTTCAATGATCTTTTCTTTGATATTCTGCATGCTCATGTGAGTTTTATATTGAGAACTCTATTTTATGTGATTCACCTTAATGTTCTTAACGATAATACGTTTAGCCTTTTTGTTCATATTTAACTGTATGTATTTCATTGATCTCTTTCCTCTATATATACGTTTTTTCTTTGATTAAATATACTGAATTTTCTGTATACTGACTCAGGGATTTGGTATTCTGGGATCTCTCTTTTAGTAAATAACCTTAATGCTCCATGCACTCAGGGATTTGGTGTTATATTTTATATACTCTATGGTTTAATATTATTGGGCTTGTAATTGAGCCAATGCATTGAGTGTTATATCTCAAGAGTTTCATATTTTGGGATTGCCAATTGAGTATATGTATATTTATTTACTGAATGTTCTGTGTACTGAGGGTTTGTCATCTAATGATTTTGTTTATATATTTGTGTAATATATTTCGGATATCCTATATGCTCATATCTTCAGATTTCTGCTGCTTAACTATATTTTGCCACGTGTGTTTTTTATCATTCACTCACACGGCTCATTGGATACATATGTTGGTCGTTTACTGTCATTGGAAGACTATATATAAAATATTATAAATATTTTATTTCTAGTATTGGATAATTTTTATGAACTGATAATCTTAAGATTATTTGATATCAGATAAAGTTAGGTGACTTAAATATACTTGGATATATATCTTGTGCCCTTATCAAAGAGCCTAACTCATTTAAACTTCAGTTAAACTGATAACTGTAATATGTTTCATATACCACTGTAGACGCGTGATTATGATTGTGATACTTTTTACACGTCATAGTAAAAGTGTTATCATGATTGTGATATTTTTACATCACCTTGTACATCCGTTACCATGACTGTAATATTTTTAAATCTCATAGTAAACTCGTTATTATGATTTTGATATTTTTACATGTCATAATGAAAGCTTTATCATAATTGTAACATCTTTACATTATATATTGGACGATGTAAACATGATTGTAAAATATTTTACACATTACAGTAAACCGTGTGATTATTGATTTGATATGTTTTCGTGTCATACTAGATCATGTGATTATTATCTCGATACTTATAACATGAGATAATATGACCACGTTGTCATAACTGTAATATGTTTTACACACCATAGTAGACTGCGTGATCATGACTGTAATATTTTTTACATGTCATAATAGACTATGCGATCAAGATGCTATGATTAAGATAGTACAGAAAACTGTTTGATCATGATTGTGATATGTTTTACATGTCATATTAGACTGTGGATTATGATTTGAATATGTTTTACATCTATTATTAGACTGAGAGACCATGATTATATGTTTTAGATGGCATATCGTTGCATGTTTTAGATTTCACTGTAGACCGTTTTATAATGATGGTGATACTTTTTATTTGTAGTAGACTGTGTGATCATGAATTTGATATGTTCCGTATATCATAGTGAACATAGTAAAATCCCCAAAATCAGTACTCGTACTAACGGATGTTTAAAATATCACACTCAACCAGCGTTAATACTGATCAATACCACATGAGTAGAGATTTGCTCTTACACAGATCGAATTATTTCCATAATTAAACTGCGCTCTCTCGACTGTTTTTCATGAGAGATGATTCATATGCTTCTTCTTTTCCTCTTGTCAAATCAATTTTGGCGTACTCAGTGAGTGGTTGTCGTCGCATGACAGCAGTAAGACATTGACCAGTAGGAAAGGACAGATCGACGTACGGTATGTCTTCAGGCTGCTGGAGAGTAAATGGAATCTTAGTGGCCAAACAGACAAATGTTCTTGGCAATTATAGGGGTAAAGGGTAGAACACACACATATATCACTTATTCACAGAAAGATATACAGCTACTTTAAAGAGTGAAAACTGATACGATGCTTTTTATTATAATAAATGTGATATTGGCTAGATAAATAATTATGCTTTTTTGAATTTCAGCTCTATTTGGCCACAGATTAGTATGACTATTTGATGTCTAAATCTTATGAAATTACGTGTAAGGAACATAAGTTGAACTTGAGAGAGGTGAGAAAGTAGCCAGTTTTTGGTCAGTTTATGATTGAAGTGAGGGGGGTAGTGGCCGTCTTTCTAAGTTCAGCTGGTATGGAGACTACAAGAACCTCTATGATTATGAAACGTTATAATCCGATATATGGGAAATAGGTGCAAGGTCAAAAATAAAGAGACCAGTCTGTCATGAGTTTGAGAAAGGAGTATAAGTAACAAGGGCTAAACGAAAAGGAGGAAAAGATCGGGAGATGTGAGTGAGAACGAATAAACCGAGAGAGCCGAAGAAAGATAGTCATACGCTGCCAGTAAGAGACAAAACCTAAATCTTAAAACTATGTTTTATTAATTACCAGTAATAAACGGCAATTTGTTATGTTTACATTTCTATGAGTTAATTCCAAACAGGAATGAGAGCAAACAACCTATATAAAGTTGATGAACATAAAAAGGGAAAGCTAAATGTGAGTATAGCACAGTAATTAAGCATGTGAGCTATATATATCTAACTTGTTATGATAGATGCGTTGTTATCAGATGATTAGAGTAATGTTTACAAACTTATTACTTTCGCCTCATTCATCTACATTTAATGAACAAGAAGAAAAGCACGCAGTCCCTTCTGAATTGTTTTTAAGACGTTAGTTTGTACTCGTTTTATACCAGTTTGTAAAGAGTATTTAGTTCATTGTTTGTAGTTAACTACAAAGTTACACAATGGGCTATCTGTGCTCTGCCCACCACGGAATAGAAACCTGGTTTCTAGCGTTATAAGTCCGCAGCCATTCCGCTGTGTCACTAGGGGGCGTTGTAAAGAGTAATGAGGCAAAAGTTAATATATGCGTTATAAAAAGACACAATTGAATGTACAATAACGTTATAAGATATATCTTAACAAATTTGTTATTAAAAATTAATGTCTGATATCAGGACAAAATTTCTGATGTGGTGCCAGCAACAATAACATATTGCTGACACAGTTTTGTGTCATTCCTTTGGAAGCTTACTTTTAAAAACAGGAATAATGCCATTTCCTTGTTGAAAAACTAATTCTACATTACAATGTTTGTACAAGTTGGATTGAAAAAGTACAATTTCATTACTTTGAATTATTTAAGAAAGGTTGTAAACCTGTTTAACATTGTTTTTCTACTCCTCCCTTTCTAGATCCGCCCAAGCACGTCCCTCGTCACATAGAAGATACAAAATATTTAAGAAAAACTACACTTGGCTGCGTTCGAAGGATAAAAAAAAAGTTCAAATCCAAAAAAAATGTGGCATTGTTGGAGAAAATTTCTACTATCTAGTGGAAGCAGAA